ATTTCTCTGAGGGCTTTGTTCATTTCATCTCTATTGGCCTCTAATAGCTGGAGAAACATAGTTTTGAGGTCGTTTTCTTGTATATCTAGTGAATTGAAGTGTCCATTGTTTTGTGGGGTTGCTGGTGAGGTCATTATGTCCTGATTTTTGTTGGGAGTGTTCTTATGTTTGCCTCTAGCCATCTGGTTATTTATAATCCTCACTGGTTGTTCCTCGAGATTGTAGTTTGGGCTATGATCCTCTCTTTCTGTTTTCTGGACTGTTTTTTCAGGAAGATGAGAGAGGTTCACTGCTTTGGGAGTATGTTTTCAGTTTTGCCTAAGTAAGGAATGTGATGCTGGCGCTATTCGCGTGCGCTTTTAGCGGGCGCACTGTGTATGTGCGGATTCTCTGACTATTGCAGTGGCCTGTAAGCCACTATTATGCTGTTCTGACTGAGATCCAGGGATTGTTTGCCTGGATTACCTTGGTGGACTCGCAAGGCAGAGGCTTCAATGTTGGGGTCGCTATCCCAAGAATCCCTATGTTGCCTACACTAGGGGTGTGGGTGGCAGGGATCTCGTCTGGTTGCTTCTGTGGAGAGGCCCTGGGTCTGGGGAAATCTCTCCCTAGAAGGCTCACTCACTCTCTGGCAGGACCAGTTGGAATGCACAGGAGTTCCCCTTGCTCACTACTCTCTGTTTTGGTCCTGCTACGGAAGTGCAGCGGTAGGCTAACAGTCAGCTCTGTGACACTGTGGCCACAGGACTCGGTGTCCACCTTTCCTGTGTGCTGCCTCTTTGTCCTTTCCCTCTGCCAGGAGGGGTTATGTTGACTGGTCCCTGGGTAGCACGGGAAAGAGTTAGGATGAGTGTACTCAATCCCAGATCCCGGGCCCAGATCTCTCTGCTAGAAGCAGCCTAGCGGTAGAATCTATGTTTGCTGATCCCAAGAGAGTACCGGGTAGGGTTGAGTGTCCTCAGATCCAGAGCTTGGGTTTCTCTGCTAGGGGCCGCTGGGTGAGCTGGAGAGAGGGTGCTGTGTCCTTGGCAGGCTGCCTCTCTGTCCTTCCCCTCTGATCTTCTCCTCTGCTAGGGCAAGCTTATGGAGGTGCTCTCTGGGGAGTGCCAGCAGGGGTTGGGGCTTCTCAGTTGGATCCTGAGCCCTGAGCTGGCATTTCTCTTCCAGGGGTCAGGGGGTGGTGGTGATAGAACTTGCTGCTAGACCTTATTGAGCTGGACCCAGGAGAATCTCAGGACGTGTAGAATGACCAGAGTCCCAGATCTCGAGCTGTAGTTTGTTTGCTAGGAGTGCCAGGCAGCACTGGAGTTCCGGCACTGTGAAGCCGCTGTGCGCCTCTTTATCCTTCCACTCCACTGCGGCAGGGTTATGGCAGCGTTTGGGGGAGTCCCTGAAAGGATTGGGTTTTCTCAGCCCCAATCTCGGGTTGGGGTACAGACAATGTGGTCTGTGGCAGATTCTGCTGGATGCCTCCTGCCTCCTCCGAAGAGGGAGTAGGGATTTTGAGCTGGGTGCGCAGCTGCTATCCGCCCGCGGCGGGAGCTCAGTTGTGATGGCAGCAGGTAACTGCTACGATTGGAGAGACCTTCCAGGGAAAGACTGGGTGACCCGTGACCAGTCTGGCAACTTTCCTTCCCTGTGGGTTTTTTTTTTTTTTTTTTTTTGCGCCTAGGACTCTTAGCCTCAGGCACCCTCGTGCCCACCAATCATCCTGGGAAACTGATCGGGACAAGCAGGCTTGTGGCACCAGTCCGGAGACCCAAAGCCCGTGTTAGCCAGGTTCTCTTCTGGGTTCTGGCTGGGCAGCCGAGTGGACCCGACTGATTTCCACGCCGTGGGAGCCTCCCCTCACCTAGGAAACATGATCGATCGCTGTTGTTTTAGGGCCCAGAGTTCAGTCTCCTGGTTGCTGCAAGGAGTGTGTTGTCCCACTTCTCAGACACGGTGTTCTCCCGGTGCCGCCATCTTGGCCCCCTCGAGGATAATTCTTCTTCTGCCTGCATTTCTTTGAGAGCTTTGTTCATTTCTTCTTATGTGCTTCTAATAACTGGATAAGGATAAATTTGAAATTATTTTCCTGTGTTTCCCATGAATTAAAATATCTATTTTTTTTTTTTTTTTTTGTGTGCTGCTGGTGAAGCCATGATGTCCTGATTTTTTGTTGGATGTGTTATTACGGCAACCCCTAGTCATCAGCTTATCTGTAACCTTCACTGTTTGTTTCCTGAGTCTGTTTTTCAAACTTGGTCCATCTGTCTCTGGTGTCTGGAGTATTCTTTAGGAAGATGAGAGTGGCCAACCATTTCAAGAGTGGATGTTGGTCTTTCAGCTTTAGCTAAGGGAGGAAGTTTGCAGCAGCATGTGCACAAGCACAGGTGCCTGCGTGGAAGTGTGTCTTGAAGGACAGGGTACTAGAGCATGTAAATGCCTGGAAGTTTGCAGGTGCCCCGAATGCCTCAGTGGCCCACAGGCCTGTTGTACTGTTTTCCAGGTTTTCAGATCTGTTTGGGTTGCACCATCTTAGTTCCAGGAATTGTTTGCCTGTACTCCACTAGGAGACTCACAGAGCAGGGTCTTCAATGTTGAGAATGCGGTCCCAAGAATCACTATGTGGCTTACAGTGTTGGTGTGGGTGAGAGGGATCAGATACCTGGGTGCTAGCAGAGAGGAACCCTGGATCTGGGGCTCTGCATGCACTCACTTGAAGGTGCACTCACTTGCCAGCAGGTCTAAGAGTAATGCACAGGGGTTCTCCTGGTTCTCTACTCTCAGATATTTCTCTTCAGGGGCAAATCCAAGTGGAGGCTCTCCCTTAACTCAGTGGAGTACACTGTTTGGCCTCAGAGCAGGGATACCCTTACTTTGGGCAGCTGCCTCATCTACTGTCTTAATCAGCGGTACAGAGGCTCTTTCTTGGGGCAGCTGCTTAGCTCTGGGGCCCATACTGCAGTCTGCTCTACCATCTCAGTCACCCAGCAAGGAGGATCATGCTTGGTGCAACCTCTGCAGCCTCAGCAGAGCAGGGAAGCTTGCGTTCTGGGCAAGGGAAACTGTAAGGGATTAGAATGCTTGCCAGTTTCAGACCCTGGAGACTTCCACAGGAGACTTCCACCTGGATACAAATTGTCCCAGCTCACAGGTTGTCCCCTCTAGCCCAGGAAGCCTCAATGTCTATGTTCCAGCTTCAGCTGCTTCTCCACTCAAGATTTTCAGAATTTCGGATCCTGTGCCCCTCAGATATGATGCTCGCTGGTAGACTCCTTCTTGGACCCTCAACTACCTTTTCAAATGCATTTCTGTTTCCAAACTTTTCCCCTTATTCCACACAATATTACATTCAAATATCTGACCACATTTCTCTACTTAAAAGCTCCCTTGTTTTCCTTTTATTAATAGCAATGTTTCTACACACAGGCTGCACAAAGTCAACTAAGCATGAGAGCATAACAGCTTGTAAGAAAATAGTTTCTTAAAGTATTCTGAAAACTTACCTTATTATAAATATTTTATCAGATAAATGTCTTTGGTATGTTGATTTCCAATGTGATAATTTAAATAATATTTGATAGAATGACTTATGGGAAAAGTAATGTTGAGATACACTTATGCATCCATGACAATCTACTTATTATCATTCTAGTAATTATTCATTGACTGCACTATAGATTGTCTTTTGGAGCCATACTATATCATATATCTCATCAGCACTGGATTTCCATTCTGTTAGAATGATACATCTGTTTTCTCTATACTTCTTGATAACCCATTGACATTTTTAACTGGTCGCATCTTTCTGTGTACTATGGATTATTGGTAGTCTCCTTTGAACTCCTCTTAATTGAATGGAAATCAATATGCTCTTTTACTTTAATATACCAGTAGCCAGATTATTCCAGGTAGTAGTTTGAATAAACTGTATATTCTATAATGTCCAATACATACATACATACATACATACATACATACGTATACATATATATGTTTGGTTTTAGTGAAGTTGTCTATTCTAGTACTTTGTACAATATTAGTATAAGGGCAAGATATCGGAAGAAAAAATATATCATGGAATATTTATTTCACAAGATGTATTATTATATATACAACATATTTGCTTCTAAATATTGGTTTAACTCAACTATCTATTTAATAGAAAAGTGTCTATCCTGGTTAGATATTCTTTGCTGTTTCATATTGGTATGTTTTTCCAGACCACAAAAGCTCTAGTATTAATATATAGTCATTATTTGTTTCATGGTTTGCCTATTGTACCAAGGATAAATGAATTTGAGTGAGAAGATGGATGGAATGGAAGTTACTGAATTTGATTTCCAGACAGAGACAATGAAAATTATTATCATTGGAAATAGTCATGTAACTGTAATGAGCAAATTAGATTTTTACAAATTGTTCAGTCTAAGAAGAGTGGTTCCACTGCAACTGATATGGATATAACTTAGATCCCACGGATGCTCGGATATAGCCCATGGTAGCTCAGAATCCAAGTGGGTTCCCTAGCAAGGGGAACAGGGACAATTTCTGACATGAACTCAGTGGCTGGCTCTTTGACGTCTCCCCCTGCCCTTGAAGGAGGAGCAGCCTTGCTAGGCAACAGAGAAAGACATTGTAGCCAGTCCTGAAAATACCTGATAAGCTAGGGTCAAACGGAAGGAGAGGTGGACCTCCCCTATCAGTGGACTTAGAAAGGGGCAGGGAGGAGATGAGGAAGGGAGGGTAGGATTAGGAGGGAATGAGAGAGTAGGCTACAGCTGGAATACAAAGTTAATAAACGTAATTAATATTAAAATATAAAAATTAAAAAAATAATTAAAAATTAAAATAAAAAAATCATTGTTCAATTAAAAACGTAATACACCTTTACCCTTAGTTATTTTAATAGTTGCATTTGATTGCTATGGGCATTGTAATCACATCTGCAGGGTTCACATTAAATAATACTGCTATATATATGGATAGGTTTATATATGGTTCTCATTTTATAGGATATTGCAAAAATCCAGAAGTTCCTCATATGTATGCAATAGAAATAGAAGAAAACACGTCTGTGGAATGTGGCATAACATTTTCTCCTGTAGAAGTAAGTTCAGTTTTCTGTTACTAACATTACAGAAGTGTAGTGGAATTACAGATTAACTATGTAATAATCTAAAAGACATAATCTCAGTTTTGTGATGACTGGGTCTTATTCTAATGAGTGACTATGCTTAGTTATAAGTTTTAATTAAGTAATATAATTAATGGATATATCTAATCATCTGAAACTATGATTATATTGTCTTTGCTGTACTTATTATCAAATTTGAAGTATGGTATGTTGTCAAGGAATGATAGGTTTAAGCTAACCATAAAGTCATTTATATTCATGATTTGTTGTGCTTTGTAATCATATTTGAAGGTGCTTCATGTAGTCATTATCTGAATTTCTCCAAACTATGTTGTGAACAATGAAAAGACATTGTTTCTATGATACTTAATTTATTTAGTTCCTCTGATGCCCAGTTTTAATTTTAAACTGTTAAAAAAACAATCAATATAAAAGATAAATCCTTTATTGGAATGTGTCCATCAGGAAGTAATATCACTGGCTAATTTTAAGACAAGCTGTAGTATGTCTTTTTTTCAGATTTCTTAAATATGGAGAGAACTTCTTTTTAACAACTAATATAAGATTTAGAGATCAAAAGCCAAACAACAAAACAAAACAATGTAGCTAAAATAATTATTTGTACCCAATAAGTACAAAAAATGCTTTACTAAGTTAAATTAATAATAATTATTCCATCATCCACATTAATATGTTAGCTAGTGTTTTCATTATGCAGGTCTCGCTTAGGGAGCCATATTGTTTATATATAACGGATGCAATTTGTCTGTCATGTCTAGAAGACACTGTTCAACAGCCATACTTTTTCTATGATGCATACAATCTTTCTACCCCTCATTTATAATATTCCCTGAGGCTTAGGTATTGTGATGGCATAGTATATGTACCAATTGGGAGTGTGGCCATACAATGTTCACTTATTTACAGAATTTTGGCCAGTTGTGGCTTATTGTAGATGCCTATATCTGGTGAAAAAAAAAACTTTGACGAGGAGTGAGGGTTACATTCATCTGTGAGTATAAGGATAAGTATTTAAATTATAGTTAGACATATTGATTTAGAAAGATGACAATTGTAAGTTCACCTCTAGGTTCTATTATCTCTCTGGCCATAAGTACTTGGCTAGATTTACAATACCATGCAGAATTTCCCTCTCATTGAACATAACTTAAGTCTAATTAGACAGCCATTGGTTACCCTTGTGAAAATAGTGCCACTATTTTAGTGGAGATATCATAGTGGCCTAGTCATTGTGCTTAGCAGGACTATTGATTGCTTTTCTCCCTAATCATCTTTCATAGTACCTTTCATGACTTAAACAACTAGTTCTCAAGAAGGTTTTCAGGTTTATTCTGCCAGGTTCTTTTTCTTCAAAATATCTTTTTAGAAATAGATTATTTAGTATATCTGGTTTTGTGTTGAGGTTTTGTTGTTGTTGTTTTTATTAATCACAGGCCATTCACTTTGTATCCCAGCCATAGTACCCTCCTTAATTTTCCTCCCAATTCCACCCTCCCTCCCTCATCTTCTCCCTGTCCCCTTCCAAGTCCACTGATAAGGGAGGTCCTCCTTCCCTTCCATCTGACCCTAGTTTATCAGGTATCTTCAGTACTGGCTGAAGTGTCCTCTGTGGCCTAGTAAGGCTGCTCCTCCCTCAGGAGGGGGGGTGTCAAAGAGCCTGCCATTGAGTTCATTTCAGAAATAATCCTTGTTCCCCTTACTAGTGAATCCACTTGGATACTGAGTACCATGGTCTGCAACTGAGCAGGGGTTCTAGGTTATAACCATGGTCCTTGGTTGGAGACACAGTCTCATAGAAGACCCCTGTGCCCAGTTATATTTGGTCCTTGTGGAGCTCCTGTCCTTTCCAGGTCATACTAACTTCCCTTTCTTTCATATAATTCCCCACACTCTGCAGAGGTTTGGTTATGAGTCTCAACATCTGCTTTGATACACTGCTAGGTAGAGTCTTTCAGAGGCCCTCTGCAGTAGGCTCGGTGGGATTTAGAAAAGATCATCCTGAGTGAGGTATTCCAGGAGCAGAAAGACACACACGGTATATACTCACTTATAAGTGGGTACTAGACCTATAAGATAGGATAAATATACTAAAATCTGTACACCTAAAGAAGATAAAGAAGAAAGAGGATCCGGGTAAGATGATCAATCCTCACTTAGAAATACAAATGGGATGGACATTGGAAGTAGGAGAAAACAAGTAATAGGACAGGAGCCTACCGTAGAGGGCCTCTGAAAGCCTCTACCTAGCAGTGTGTGTAGTGTCTTAAGCAATAGTATTACCTTCAAGTTCTGTTAGGGAAACAAAGGCAATGACAATAACTTAAGTTATTTTGGGAGTCTTTGGTCATCCACTGACCAACTACTTGACAAGTGTTTTCCCTTACCTGGTATTAACGTTTCTGTTAGTATACGGCTCTACGTATATTGACTCCATTTAAACTTTCTCCCTCCTCCCACTTCTCAGTCTCATTTTCTTTAGCTCTCTCCAAATGTGTGTGAGATATATTTTTCACTCATTTACACACATGCATTTGCTTATTTATACATATCTATACACATATGTATTTTTAATTAAGCTAATAAAATAATATTCATTTGTGACTTTTTAAAACATTCTTAATTTTATTTAAGAGATCATTCATTTAAGAGAGACAATATACACAGTGGTTTAAAATACTTATTGCTCCTGAGGAAGAACCCATTTCAATGATCAACACCAACATGGTGGCTCACAAATATTTATTTCTAACTCAAGTTTTAAGGCATCCAACACACTCTGAATTCCATGGATACCAGATTCATAGGTGGAACACATGCATATATGCAGGATATACATGCATACACATAAAATAAAGAAGCATAAAATATTTTTTTAAAAAAGAGGTGATTCCTCATTGAACCTGGAGTTCACCTGTTTAGCTACACTTGCTGGCCACCAAGCTACAGTGGACCTTATCTCTGCAATTCCTTATTGATAGGATTACAGATATTTATTCCACAACTGTTTTTTATGTGGCTGCTGGGGCTCCAAACTTAGGTGGATATGCATATACAATAAAGACTTTACCAACTGAACCATCTTCCCCATATTGTTTAATTGGTTTGTACATTTTTATAAGTAAGTCTTCATTTAAATTTATTTTTCTCTTCAATGGATATATTTATAAAACTATTTTACTTAAGAGTACTAGCTGGTTTTTTTTATCAGGTTGACACTAGCTAATTTTATTTCAGAAAAGGAGACCTAAGTTGAGAAAATACCCCCATTAATCGGGTGTGTGGGCAAGCATATAGTGCATTTTCTTGGTTGATGATTGATGTTGGAGGGCCTAGCTCACTGTGGGTGATGCCACCCCTGGACAGGGTTCCTGGGGTATAGAATAAAGCAAATTGAGAAAGCCAGTGAAAGAATACTAGTAAATAGTACTCCACCATAGCCTCTGCATCAGCTCCTATTTCTAGGTTCCTGCTCTGACCGTCCTCAGTGATAGACTGATATGGGCTTATAAGCTGAAATAAACCATTTTCTTACCAAGTTGCTTTTAGTCACAGGGTTTTAGCAAAAAATAGAAACCTTAACTCAGACATTAAGGCTCACAGTAAATTAGAAACATGTTTAAAAATTGAGTTTTAATTGCACAAAGTTCTTCAGTGGGTATATATGCAACATATTTTTACTCAAATTCACGAACATTATCAACAATGAAAAAAATTTACATCTGTTTATGTTGCAACTCTGTATGGATACTAGAAATTGATTATAGATTAAGGTAAGTCACATATTTATAATTCTGTATAATTCTTTAATTTGGTAAATATTCTGAATTATTATTTGTTGATTTCCCTTTTTATGAATAAATTTACACAGTATATTGTAGCGTAATTCAGTTCACTATAAGAATAATATATCTTTAATTAATTTACTCCTTGATAATTGTTTGTGGATACTATTGCAGAAGTAGACTATCCTGAGAATGAGTGTTTTAAAATGGCCATTAAAATAAGACATGCTTCTGTTTTTTAGGCTTCCCAGTTTTGTTATGAAAACAGATTGTTTACATAAAACTCTGTGGCAGCAGATGGAATTGGCAGGCTTATGGTCAGATACACTTAAATAAAATAAAAACTCGTTGTTTTTCATAGCCAGGGTATTGTGACTCACCAGATCCGAATGGATGCCCATTATATGAGGTTGCTAAGTAGAAACCAGTACTAGATATGTCCTTAAGTCCCATATTTTTTGTCATGATCTTGTGGGTTTTTCTTACCTCCAAGTTTAAAATACATATTTTAGCTTGTCTTCTTTCTACTGTTTACCTCTAGAAACTTATTAAGGGAACAGTGGGCAGTGTGTTTGTGTACTGTGAGTGTGCAAATATCTTTAGTAGCATTTAGTATTGTTAGCTATGTATAAGGAATTGTATAGATGAGAAATAGTACCTCCCATAATTTTTCCCTTTTTAATTTGCATTTATTTATTTATAGTGTGTTGTGTGTGTCTGGAGGCTAGGGAACTACTTGTAGGAGTCAGTTTTCTTTTTCCACCATGTGGGTCCTGGAGATTGAACTAAGGTCATCAGGTGGGGCAGCAAACATAATTATGTCCTGAACTATCTCAATGGGACATATCCTTTGATTTCAATATCCATTTCCTTGATGTTAGATGTAACACATTTTTGCTTGTGCTAATGTGTTACTGTGTACATATATCCTCTGAACTGTCTTTCCTATACTTTCACGTATATTTTCATTATCTAGATTACTTTATAATTATCTCAGAATATTTTTTAATATATTTTGACACTAGCTAGAAATTTTGTGAGAAATGGGTTTGGGCTCATTTTATCTCCGTAACGTTAGCTGTAGCAGCATAGATGCTTTCAGATTTTTATGATACGAATTAATCATTCTCTCTTTTAGGAGTGATATACTTGGTATAGTATTTAAGAAATCCATGCTTACCCAAAGATCAAAATGGCTTTTTTTCTATTTTTTGTGAAGTTTTAGGATATATAGCTGCATATTTGGTTAATTTTTTTTTAAATTTTTATTTATTTATTTATTTATTTATTTATTTATTTATTTATTTATTTTAATTCTTTATTAATTACACTTAATTCACTTTGTATCCCCCTGTGGTTCCCTCCCTTCTCCTGTTCCAATCCTTCCCTTCCTCCACCCTCTGCATGCATGCCCCTCCCTAAGTCCACTGATAGGGGAGGTCTTCTTATCCTTCCTTCTGAGCCTAGTCAATTAGGTCTCATCAGGAGTGGCTGCATTGTCTTCCTCTGTGGCCTGGTAAGGCAGCTCCCCCCTCAGGGGGAGGTGATCAAAGAGCAGGCCAATCAGTTCATGTCAGAAACAGTCCCTGTTCCTATTACATTGGAACCCACTTGGATGTTGAACTGCCATGGGCCACATCTGTGTTATATAAAGAACTAAAGAAGTTAAACAGCAAAAAATCAAGTAATCCAATTAAAAAATGGAGTACAGAGCTAAACAGAGAGTTCTCAATAGAGGAATATCGAATGGCAGAGAAACATTTAAAGAAATGCTCAACCTCATTAGCCATCAGGGAAATGCAAATCAAAATGACCCTAGATTTTACCTTACACCCATCAGAATGGCTAAGATATAAAACTCAAGAGATAACACATGCTGGAGAGATTGTGGAGAAAGGGGAACCCTCCTCCACTACTGGTGGAATTGTAAACTTGTACAACCACTCTGGAAATAAATCTGGCACTTTCTTAGACAACTAGGAATAACGCTTCCTCCAGATCCAGCTATACCACTCTTAGGCATATACCCAAAAGAATCTCAAATACACAATAAGGATATTTGCTTAACAATGTTTGTGGCAGCCTTATTTGTAATAGCCAGAAGCTGGAAACAGCCCATATGTCCCTCAGTGGAGGAATGGAAGCACAAATTATGGTATATCTACACACTGGAATATTACTCAGCAATAAAAAACAAGGAAATCATGAAATTTGCAGGTTAATTTTTAATAAAGAGATATTAAGAAAACAATTTAGCTCATAGTTTGGGTGACATTTTTCACATAATGAATAATATATCCTTAACTTTATTAAATAAAGATTTTAATTGTCACATGTTAATTTTATAAGAAAAGGGTAATTTGGGTGAATCAACATTATCAAAGCCCTCAAAGTTATAATTATTTTTTCCTTTTTTTTATTTTGACAGATAGCAACATATGAATTTAGCTTTCCTGTCCATATTAATTCCTTTAAGGCTTCAGAGCTCTACTCTGAATATTTGTCACAGAAAAAGACTTTGATGCCAAGAACATCACCACTTATTCCACCATGTTTTGTTCAAGCTACTGGTATGTAATATGAAATAGTCAACTGAGTAGATTTACAGTTAGTCAAAGAGTTACACTTAATATCTAAAAGTAAGAAATAAACAGTATCATTTTAAGTTTTCAAAATTTGGAATATTAAATTAAATCCCTACTCAATTTCTTTATATGTGACTGAAACCATAAATGTGTGAGTTGATATCTTAATAGTACAAATGTATGCATATTTGACTCTTTCTGAATAAAATTGGAAGAATTTATAAAATCCAAGTTAAGACAACATGTAAATTATTAAAACGTAATGATCTGAAAGTAAAATGAAACAAGTAAAATTTTCTTAAATATTTCACAAAAACAGAATTACAGAAGGGTAACTAAATATTATTAAACATACAAATTTTGGGATTACTTGTCGAATATTTCTCTGTCCATATTCTAACAAAAAAAATACAAAATTTGTATACTCTTCCAGCTATACTTTGGAAAAGTTGTAGTTTTGCTGTTTATTATAAATGTTTATTTACTTTCTTTGACATTCAAGAAGCCTGTAATTTGGATGTATATACTGTGCTCTAATATTGAGTTAAATTGTTAATAATAATGTACTGATTGATGTGAGATCACTTAGTCACTATGTTGCAGATGGAAAGAGAGGATACACTGAACTAGTATGCCAATGTTGTAAATTTATGAAACTCACTAAAATACTCCAAATTAAATGTTCTATGGGGAGCATGAAGCTTTATGAATTTGAATTTTTGACCTTAAGATGCTTTTGATAAAAATTCACTTAAAATTTCCTTTTCTGAAATTAATAAATTATCTCTCACAATACATTTTACATTTGTAATAACATTTTTCACATTATTTTCATTTTTGTTTATTTATTTATTTTTACTAATTATACTTTATTTACTTTGTATCCCAGCTGTAGCACCCTCCTTTATCTCTTCCCAACCCTACCGTACCTCCCTCATCTCCTCCTGTGCCCATCCCCATGTCCACTGATAGGGGATGGCCTCCTCCCATTCTATCTGATCCTAGCCTATAAGGTCTCATCAGGACTGGCTATAATGTCTTCTTTATGGCCTGGTAAGGCTTCTCCTCATTCAGGGGGAGGTTGATCAAAGAGACAGCCACTGAGTTCATGTCAGAGACAGTCCCTGTTCTCATTACTAAGGAACCCAATTGAAGACTGAGCTGTCATGGGCTTCATCTGTGCAGGGGTTCTAGGTAATCTCCATGAATGGTCCTTGGTTGGAGTATCAGTCTCAGAAAAGACCCCTGTGCCTAGAGTTTTTGGTTCTGTTGCTCTACTTGTGGAGCTCCAGAACCATCTAGGTCTTTCTATCTACCCCTTCTTTCCTAAGATTCCCTGAGCCTTGCCCAAAGATTGGCTATAAGTCTCAGCATTTGCTTTGATAACCTGCTGGGTAGATTCTTTCAGCGACCCTCTTTGGTAGGCTCCCATCTTGTTCCTTATTTTCACATTCTTCTGATGTCTATCCCATTTGCCCTTGTGAATGAGGATTGAGCATCTTATATAGGATCCAACATCTTGCTAAGCTTTTTAGGCGTATAAATTTTAGCAGGCTTATCCTTTATGTCTTATATCCACTTATGAATGAGTATATACCACCATGTGTGTCTTTCTGCTCCTGGATACCTCATTCATGCTGATGTTTTCTACTTCCCACCATTTGACTGCAAATTTTATGATTGCCTTGTTTTAAATGCTGAGGAGTATTCCATTGTGAAAACTTACCACAATTTCTGTATCCATTCATCTGCTGAGGGACATCTGGGTTGTTTCCAGATTCTGGCCATTACGAATAAAGCTGCTATGAACCTGGATTAGCAAATGTCCTTGTTGTATACTTAAGCATATTTTGGATATATGCCTAGGAGTGGTATAGCTGGATCTTGAGATAGCAGCATTCTTAATTGTCCGAGAAAGTTGCCAGGTTGATTTACAAAGTGGTTTTACAAGTTTACATTCTCACCATCAATGGAGGAGGGTTCCATATCCTCTCCAGCATGTATTGTCACTTCAGATTTTTGTCTTAACCATTCTGTTGATTGTAAGGTGAAATCCAATTCTCTTCAAACTATTCCACAAAATAGAAACAGAGTGAATATTACCAAACTCATTCTATGAAGCCACAGTCACCTTGATACTTAAACCACACAAAGACCCAATAATAAAAGAGAAATTCAGACCTATCCCTCTTATGAACTTTGATGCTAAAATACTCAATAAAATACTCGCAAAAGGAATCCAAGAACACGGAAAATATATCATCCAAGATGACCCAGTAGGCTTCATCCCAGGCATGCAGGGGTGGTTCAACATATGGAACTCTATCAATGTAGTCCAACATATAAACAAACTGAAGGAGAAAAGCCACATGATCATCTCCATAAATGCCCGAAAAATCATTTGACAAAATCAAAACCCTTTCATGTTTAAGGTCTTGGAGAGATCAGAAATACAAGGCACATACCTAAACATAATAAAGGCAATATACAGCAAACCTATATAAAACATCAAACTCAATTGAGAAAAACTTAAATCAATCCTTCTGAAATCCAGGACAAGGCAAGGAGACCACTCTCTCTGTATCTCTTCAACATTTTTTTTATTTACCGTGAATATTCTGAGATGTTAATTTACTTCATGATAATTGTATTATTTTTATGATTTTTAACATTTCTTTTTAAAAATATTCAAATTTATCTCTCTTCTAAATTTCAGAACAGTGAGATATTTTGAGAAAGTGCCAGATTTATTTCCAAAATAGTTGTACAAGTTTATATTCCCACCAGCAATGGAGGAGAGTTCCCCTTTCTCCACAACCTCTCCAGCATGTGTTGTCACTTGAGGTTTTGGTCTTAGCCATTCTGATGGTTGTAAGGTAAAATCTCAGGGTCATTTTGATTTGCATTTTCCTGATTACTAAGGAAGCTGAACACCTTTTTAAGTGTTTTTCTGAGATTTGATATTCTTCTATTGAGAATTCTCTATTTAGCTCTGTAACCCATTTTTTAAATTGGATTACTTGATTCATTGCTTTTTAACTTCTTGAGTTCTTTACATATTCTGGATATTAGTCTTCTGTCAGAATTAGCTTTGGTGAAGATACTTTCCCACTCTGTATGCTGTTGTTTTGTTCTGATGACAGTGTTCTTGACTTTACAGATGCATTTCAGTTTCATGAGGTCCAGTTTATTGATTGATGATCTTAGAGCATGTGCTGCTGGTGTTCTGTTCAGGAAGTTATCTCCTGGGCCAATCAGTTCAAGGCCCTTTCCTCCTTTTTTTTTCTAACTGTTTTAGTGTGTCTGATTTTATGTTGAGGTCTCTGATCCACTTAGACTTCAGTTTTGTGAAGGGTGATGAATATGGATCAATTTGCATTTTTCTACATGTAGACATCGCATTAGAAAAGCACCATTTATTGGAAATGCTATAATTTTTCCTTTGTATGGTTTTGGCTTCTTTGTAAAAAATCAGGTCGAGACTGATAGTCAAACTTTGGGCAGAATTCATGGAATTTCATGAAAGAAGGGGGAGAAAGACCTAGAGGGGACAGGAGCTCTAAAAGGAGACCAACAGTGCCAAAAAAAAGCTGAACCCTGGGGTCCCTGAAGAGAATGATACCCCAACCAAGGACAATGCATGGTGAGGACCTAAAACCCCGACTCAGCTATAGCCCATTGACTCAGGCTCCAAGTGTAGTCCCTAGTAAGTGTAGTAGGCAAATTTCTCTGGCATGAACTCAGTGTCAGGCTCTCTGGTCACCTCCCCCTGGGCAGTGCAGCCTTGCCAGGCCACAGAGGAAGACAATGCAACCAGTCCTGATGAGATAGGATAAGCTACAGTCAGATAGAAAAAGAGCAGGTCCTCCCCTATCAGTGGACTATAGGAGGGCCATATTGGGAGAAGAGGGTGGGAGTATAGGATTGGGAGGAGTCAGGGGAGGGGGCACAGCAGGGATACAAATTGAATAAATTCTAATAAAATGAGAAACAAAAGAATGAGATTTTCCTCGTTTCTTCTCTACTTTTAATGGTTTTGTCAATTTGTAGTAGCCTGAGTTCTATTTTCTGAAGACCTTTTAAAATTTATAGGGTTACATTTTTTTTTTGCTAAAACATTTTATTTTATCTTTATAATGATTTCTTTGAAATTTTGACTGTGTTTTCCCCTAGTTTCTTTTGCTCTTTGCTTGCTTTTACATCTTTATTACTGACTCTCAAATTGTTGATTTCCATATAGCATACTTTATATTTGGTATTCTGGACAGGATGCATGTTTAAATATAGGTAGCAGTTGGTCTGAAACATTAGGCCTTTTATATTTGGTGATTCTCAGAAAATGTTGGTGGAGAAATCTCTCTGATGGAGACTATGTTTAATTGAAACTATGTTTTCCAGATGATAATGGATAATGTCAAAACAAAGCTTTGAGTTTACAGATATAATATAGGTAGTATTTTTTTCTGGCTATACAATAAATTATGGCTAATTTACAAATTGAAAAGCCATTTTGTATATGATCATTGCTTTAGATCTACTGAAACTTGTCTTAATGTTTGTCATGACTGGAATTGGGTATGATACATTGGAGCAAACCATTAATAAGATTCTCCTTTCTCACATATATCAACCCCTTGGTAAAGCAACCATAAATTTGATTGACTATCTTAAAGTCATATACACATCACTTCTGAGACCCTATTGTTTTATTTTATTAAGAATTTAAATGTTTCAAAATTAAGGTTAAGGAGGCAAGGGAAAGAATAGATAAAAAATTACCACCCTTTTTTATAACTTTTTAATCTAAATTCTCAATAATCTTGTCACTTATTTATTTATTTTTCCTGCATTCCAATCATGTTTTGCTTCTCTCTTTCTGCATGATTTATACCTAGGTATAGAGATCAAAGTACTATCCCTTGTCCTTTATTGTTTCAATTTTGAGTATATTTTATTATTTTTAGTATATCAGTGGTATTGTCTTGTTTTATGTATAATTTATGACCACTAAAAATTTATAACATGTGATGAGACCTGATAAAGTAGGTTGAGATGGAAAGGGAGGAGGACCTCCCCTATCAGTGGACAGAGGGAGGAGCTTGGGAGGAGAAGAGGGAGGGAGGCTGTGAGTGGGAGAGGACTAGGAAGGCGACTATGTCTGGGATACAAAGTAAATAAACTGTAATTAATAAAAAATAACAATAGAATTATATACTTCTTAAAAAATTTATAAAATGAAAATTTGTAATTTTGGAAACCAATGTATTTTTAAAAGGTTTGAAATGAAATTTTATTTTTTGACTTGGAGTATAAAAAAAACAGACCTAATATTCTTATTATTTTCTTTGGAGAACATACTAAATAGTGTCCACATTCTGTTTTTAATATTTTAAGATATTTTTTACTTTTATTTTTAAAGTGTTGCAAGCACCGTTGGAATTATCCAGCACTGCATTTATCTTTAAAATCCCATTACATGAGCTTCAACATAATAAGGAGATCACAAGAATTCAGGTATATAAATAATTAATACACTTTTTAGCTCAAAATTATTTGGGTTTTCACTTAATTGATTATTTGAAAGCATGAGTGATGTGAAATTTTGCCTATTAGTAATGTGTCACATATATTCAGGATATTTGTAGCAGCAACACTGGATATTATAGATAATAGTACATATATGTGTATATATATATTTTTAGTTATATATGTAGAGTATATATATTACCCAATACTTCCATACTTTCAGAAATACTTTTTTCTGTATATGATGTGTATGTACCATGCATGTGCATGTGTGTGTTAATAACTGCCTAAGTTTACTAAGTTGGCTCATAGTCTTTTGAGAATTTTCAGAATTTTCCTGCTGTTGCCTTCCATCACACTGAAAGAGCACAGGATTATAGTTGAGCATGATTGCACATGACCTGTTTGTTTCTGGAGATTTGAAGCCATATTATCATTCTTGCTAGAGTAGAACTTTACCCACTGAGCCACCTAACAAGCTTCTGTAAAAATAAATTTTTAAAAGTGGCTGCATTGTCCTCTTCTGTGGCCTAGTAAGGCTGCTCCCCCCTCAGAGGGAGGTGATCAAAGAGCAGGCCAATCAGATTATGTCAGAGGCAGTCCCTCTTCCCATTACTATGTAACCCACTTGGACACTGAACTGCCATGGGCCACATCTGTGCAGGGGTTCTAGGTTATCTCCATGAATAGTCTTTGGTTGGAGTATGAGTCTCTGCAAAGTTTCCTGTGTTCAAATTTTCTTGTTCTGCTACTCTCCTTGTGGAGTTCCTGTCCTCTCCAGCTCTTACTATTTCCTACTTCTTACATAAAATTCCATTCACTCTGCCCAACAGTTGGCCATCAGGCCTAGCATCTGCTTTGATAGTCTGCAGAGCAGAGGCTTTCAGAGGCCCTCTGTGGCAGGTTTCTAGTTTGCTTCCTGTTTTCTTCTTCTGGCTTTCAGAGGCCCTCTGTAGCAGGATCCTAGGTAGTTTCCTGTTTTCTTCTTCTTCTGATGTCCATCCTCTTCGCCTTTCAGGATGGGGATTGAGCGTTTTAGTTAAGGTCCTCTCTCTTGCTTAGTTTCTTTAGATGCACAGATTTTAGTGGGTTTGTCCTATTTTGTATGTCTATATGAGTGAGTATATACTGTGTGTGTCTTTTTGCTTCTGGGACAACTCACTCAGGATGATCCTTTCCAGGTCCCACCATTTACCTGCAAATTTCATGATTTCCTTATTTTTCATTGCTAAGTAATATTCCATTGTATAGATGTACCACAATTTCTGCGTCCATTCTTCACTTGAGGGGCATCTGGGTTGTTTCCAGCTTCTGGCTATTACAAATAAAGCTGCTACAAACATGGATGAGCAAATATCCTTTTTGTGTACTTGAGCCTCTTTTGGATATATGCCTAGGAGTGGTATGGCTGGATCTTGAGGAAGTGCTATTCCTAGTTGTCTGAGAAAGCGCCAGATTGATTTCCAGACTGGTTGTACCAGTTTACATTCCCACCAGCAGTGGAGAAGGGTTCCCCTTTCTCCACAACCTCTCCAGCATGTGTTGTCACTTGAGTTTTTCATCTTGGCCATTTCGATGGGTGTAAGGTGAGATCTCAGGGTTGTTTTGATTTGCATTTTCCTAATGGCTAATGAGGCTGAGCATTTCTTTAAGTGTTTCTCTGCCATTCGATATTCCTCTACAGAGAATTCTCTGTTTAGCTCTGTTCCCCATTTTTCACATGGATTACTTGATTTGCTGCTTTTCAGCTTCTTTAGTTCTTTGTATACACTGGATATGAGTCCTCTGTCAGATAAAGGGTTGGTGAAGATTCTTTCCCAATCTGTAGGCAGTCGCTTTGTTTTGATGACGGTGCCCTTTGCTTTACAGAAGCTTTTCAGTTTCATGAGGTCCCATTTATTGATTGTTGCGCTTAGAGCCTGTGCTGTTGGTGTTCTTTTCAGGAAGTTTTCTCCTGTACCAATGAGTTCTAGGGTATTCCCCACTTTTTTTTTTCTAGCTGATTTAATGTGTCTGGTTTTATGTTGAGGTCTTTGATCCACTTGGACTTCAGTTTTGTGCAGGGTGATAAGTATGGATCTATTTTCAATGCAGCCACTTTTGATGAGAACTGATAGACTAAGATCAGAAAGATGGAGAGGAGAAGCTCCCCTATTAGTGGACTTGGGGAGGGGCATGCATGCATAAAGGGGAGGGAGAGTGGGATCGGGAGGGGAGGAGGGAGGGTTTTATGGGGAGATACAAAATGAATAAAGTGTAATTAATAAAAGATAAAAAAGTTAAAAAAACAAGGAAACCATGGAATTTGCAGGCAAATGGTGGGAACTAGAAAAGATCATCTTGAGATGATGAAAGCAGAAGCAGCAAGACACACATGGTATATACTCATTCATAAGTGATTATTAGACAGATAATACAGGATAAATCTATCCTCCTAAAGAAACTAAACAACAAGGTAGGCCCTAGGGAAGATGCCCAATCCTCATTCAGAAGGGCAAACATGATAGAAGTCAGGAGAAGACAGGGAACAGAACAGGAGTCTGCCACAGAGGGCCTCTGAAAGACTCTACTGATCCAGGTATTGAAACAGAGGCTGAGACTCATAGCCAAACTTTGGATAGAATGCATGGAATTTTATGAAATAAGGGAGAGATAGAAAGACCTGGAGGGGACAGGAGCTCCACAAGGAGACCAACAGAGCCAAAACAAAACAAAACAAAACAAAACAAAACAAAACTGGGCCCTGGGGACCCTGCAGACACTGATACCCCAATTAAGGACTATGCATGGAGAGGACCTAAAACCCTTGCTCAGATATAGCTCATAGAATCAGTCTCCAGATGGGTCCCTAGTAAGAGGAACAGGGGCTGTCTCTGGCAGGAACTCAGTAGCAGGCTCTATGATCATCTCCCCCTGGGAGGAGCAGCCTTACCAAGCCACAGAGGAAGACGATGCAGCCAGTCTTGATGAGACCTGATAGGCTACAGTCAGTTGGAAGGGGAGGAGGACTTCCCCTATCAGTTGACTAGGGGAGGGGCATGGAAGAAGAGGGAGGGAGGGAGGATGGGACTTGGAGGAGATGAGGGAGGGAGCTACAGCTGGGATACAAATTGAATAAATTATAATAAAAATAAATAAATTTTAAAATTTTATTACTATGAGTGTCAATTCATTATGTGTCTATTTGGGCATGCATGTAATGACATATGTATAGTAAGTCAGGAGAGAACTTTATAGATTTGGTTCTATTTTTCTCCTTTGGAAATCAATCTGGTGCTTTCTCAGAAAATTAAGTATAATGCTACCTCCAGATCCAGCTATACTACTCCATAGGCATGCTCAACCATACAGCAAGGTCATTTGATTGGCTGTATTCATAGGAACATTATTCATAATAGCCAGTATCTGGAAGCAACCTAGATATCCCTCAATGGAGGAATGGATACAGAAGGTGTGGTACATTTACATAAAGGAATACTACTCAGCAATTAAAAAACATGGAAATCATGAAATCTGGAGGCAATGGCTGGAACAAGAAAAGATCATCCTGAGTGAGGTTACCCAGAAGCAGAAAATTACACATGGTATATAGATATTCACTTATAAGTGGATATTAGCTATAAAATATAGGATAAACATACTAAAATCTATAGTCTTAAAGAAGCTAAACAAGGAGGCCCCTGGGGAAGAGAGTTAATCCTCATTCAGAAGGGCAAACAAGATAGACATTGGAAGTAAGTGAAGACAGGGAACAGGACAGGAGCCTTTCACAGAGGAACTCTGAAAGACTCTACCCAGCAGTGTATCAAAGCAGATTCTGAGATTCATATTCAAACTTTGGGCAGAATGCAGGGAATCTTATGGAAGAAGGAGGAGGTAGAAAGACCTGGAGAGGACAAGAGCTCCACAAGGATACAAACAGAGCCAAAATATCTTGGCCCAGATGTCCTGTAGAGACTGATGAATCAGCCAAGGACCATGCATGTAGAGGACCTAGACCCCTGCTCAAATGTAGCCTGGAGGCAGCTCAGTCTCCCTGGTGTTCCTTAGTAAGGGGATCAGGGGCTGTCTTTGACATGCTCTCAGGGTCTTGCTTTTTATTCACATCCCCCTCGCGAAGTGGCCTAACTAAGCCACAGAGTTAAGAGGATCCAGACAGTCCTGATGAGACCTGATAGGCTAGGGACAAATAGTAGGGGATGAGGACCTCCATTATCAGTGGACTAGAGGAGAGCCATAGGGGGAGGAAGGAGGATGTAGGAGAGCCCGTGAGGAGATAAGGAAGGGGTGTACACCCAGGCTACAAAGTGAATACATTTTAATAAATAATTATAATAAAGAAAAATATTATTTTAGAAAAAGAAAAAATACACAGGAAACAACTTATATGGATGTGAAGTGAGTGAATTGACTGTTTTTTTGTTTGTTTGTTTTTCCCCTTGATTGTTCTTTTATTTTTATCTTTTTTGGCTTTACTGGCTGATTTATACAGAGAAGACATGAGATGGGACTCTATTCTAATCAAAAGTAAGGTTTTGTAGTGGGAACAGAAATTATAAAATTTCCCATAATCCTGCCCCTCCCCAAATTCTGGTGCTTGAAAATTTATCTATCTCTTATTGAGGCAGAACCCCTGGTATCCTGTGACGATTCTTCCAGCCCAGAACCTCTGATGGCATTAGGCATCAGGTGTGTTCAGCTACAGGGTACTTGGCAGACAGCAAGGCTTAGCAGCCAGTGACCCAGGATGATACTTAAGTTTTACCTGTTATAGTAAGAGAAGGTAGTTTTTTTTTTTCCTCCTCTCTGGGGAGGATTAATTCTTACTATTCATTTTTAGTCTAGGGGTTGGGGTTCAGGAGTAACATATAAAGCCTTCTTTTGTTTCCAACACCTCACCTACCCCAAGCCTCATTATGGTGCTATCTAAGTAAGTCTTCTCCATACACCTTGTTAACCTATAAAGTGGTCAGACTTGATCAGATCTAACAGGAGGATGTAACTCTGAGATAAAATGTCTTCATTATACCTGTTTGTGGATTAGCTTTGTATTTAAATAGCAAACAAAAAAAGAAATAAACTTGAAGCTTATTTGTCATCATAAAAATAAAGCAAAAGTTAAAACATATTGCCATCCCCAGACTCTATTGAAATTAAAATGAATATTTAAGACTGAGAACATAAAATCAGTATTTTAAAAATTAAATTCCATGTGTATGCAAATATCATATGTAGAACTAAAAAGGCAACTTTAGTAACCTGAAATGTATTCTGGATTTGAAAAAGTACCTTCTGAAATGGGAGATTATTTTACATTATTGAACTTTAATTCAGTTGTTGTATTGTATGTGACTGGTGGACATAGAATCTAAATCACCAATTATTACATGATTATGACTAAGGTATTGGCAGGAGCCAAGACCTTTCTAAAACTTTAGGAAAAATTGCATATTATTGCTTTCTTCACCATTCAATTTGTCTAGTGGTGAAATTTTGCAGCAGCTACATTTGACATCTCATGAAGAACATATGTAGCATCACAGTGACTCATTGCAATAGTTTTTTTTTCTATTCTCTAGTTGCTTAGTCTGATTTTGGCAGTGATGTGCTAAATTTCAAAGAATTAGGGAATTTAAAGAAGACATTTATATGTATAGATTAGATATTTTTTCTGTAAGAAAGATTATTTTCTTTTTTTTTAGTATGTCAGTATTAATTAACATATTTTTTTTGCTGTAAATAATTAATTTAAGAACTCTATTAGGTTGGTCCTTTGGCTTGTTAATATTACCATAATTAAATACTCAAATCTTTTTTCTAACAACTACATTTTATAATGCATTTATTATTTTTTAAAAACGTATTCTTATAATTCCACATATATTCTTATGTATGTATGAACAGGACCTTGTCTTATTTAATGTTTCACAAAAAATTGTTCAATGGTCTTTGGATATTGGCAAAATTGAGACATATTTCAAAAGTGGCATATTCAAATTTACTGCATTGATTGGAAGTCTAAAACCAAATGAAAAGTGTTCTATTTCCATATATTTTTGTCCAAGTAAGTATTTTTCTATTTTTTAAAAAATATATTGTTTTAGATATTTTTATGTGTATTACTGTTTTTCCAGCCTAGTTGTATGTATACCTTGTATGTGCCTGGGGCCTGCTGAGGCCAGAAGCAGATGATAAATATGCTGAAACTAATTGTGAACTGCCGTGTAGTGGCTGGAAGTTGAACCTGGATCCCTCTGTTCGGCCATCTTTTTAGTGGTTCCTGACAGCTTTTTTTTTTTAATAGGAAAAAATATTTTTAATGTTTATTCTTTTTTTAATTTTATTTTTCTTTTTAGTTACATTTTGTTAACTCTGTGTCCCAGCTGTATCCCGCTCCCTCATTCCCTCTCCAACCCCACACTCCCTCTCTGGTCTCCTCCCTGCCCCTTTCCAAGTCCACTGATAGGGGAGGACCTTCTCCCCCTTCATTTGACCCTGTTTTATCAGGTATCTTCAGGGCTGGCTGCAAAGTCCTCCTCTGTGACCTAACAGGACTGCTCCTCCCTGCAAAAGGCATCTGAAAGACTCTACCTAGCAGTGTTTCAAAGCAGATACTAAGACTCATAACCAAACCCTGGGCAGAGTGCAGGGAATCATATGAAAGAAGAGAAGTTAGTATCATATGGAAAGGATAGGAGCTCTACAAGGACCAAATACATCCGGGCACAGGGTCTTTTCTGAGACTGACACTCAACCAAGGACCATCTATGGATATAACCTAGAACTTCTGCTCAGATGTGGCCCGTGGTAGCTCAGTAACCAAGTAGTTTTCCAAAGTAAGGGGAACAAAGACTATTTCTAACAGGATCTCAAGGGCAGGCTCTTTGACCTCCCCACCTCCCCAGGAGAGGAGCAGTCCTGACAGCTTTTTTAAATTGTCAAAGCTGAGAGAGTTTCACTCATCATAACCCCTTTTTCAGTAATCCCTTAAGATCCTTCAGGCAACTTTTAAATTTTTCATTTACTTTTTGATTAATTAGAATTTATTCACTTTGTATCCCAGCTATACTTCCCCCTATCATCCCCTCACAATCCCACCCTTCCTCCCTCTTCTCCTCTCATGACTCTCCCCAAGTCCACTGATCGCTGAGGTCCTCCTTCTCTTCCATCTGACCCTAGCATATCAGGTCTCCTCATGACTGGCTACATTGTCTTCCTCTGTGGTCTAGAAAGGCTGCTCCCCCATTATGTGGAGGTGATCAAAGAGCCAGCCACTGAGTTCATGTCAGAGACAGTCTCTGTTCCCCTTACTAGGAAACCCACATGGAGACTGAGCTGGGGTTGTAAGTTATCTCCATTCATGGTCCTTTTTGGTGTATTGGTCTCAGAAAAGTCCCCTGGGTCCAGATTTTTTTCATTCTATTGCTCTCCTTGTGGAGCTCCTGTCCTCTCGAAATCTTTCATCTCCTCCTCTTTCATAAGATTCCCTGAACTCTAGGCAAAGTTTGGCTATGAGTGTCAGCATCTGCTTTGATACCCTGCTGAGTAGAGTCTTTCAGAGGCCCTCTGTGGTAGGCTCCTGTCCTGTTCCCTGTTTTCTCCTTCTTCCAATGTCCATTCTGTTTGTCTTTCTGAATGAGGACTGATCATCTTACCCAGGGTTCTCATTCTTGCTTAGCTTCTTTAGGCGTAGAGATTTTATTATGCTTATCCTATATTATATGTCTCATATCTACTTATATGTTGAGTATATACCCTGTGTGTCTTTCTGCTTTTGGGATACATCACTCAGTATGATCTTTTTTAGTTACCACCAATTTTCTTCAGGTGTTTTTTTTTATTTCTTCATATTCTGTATACCGTAAGTTATTAGCAGGTCTTGGTAAAGCATTGTAAATAATTGAAAATGAGGTGATTAATAAAAAACAGACATTATTTTAATAAAATTACAATTTTGTCATTCTATTTCTATTCTTTGTGTAAGCACAAAGTAAGTTCTTTTTTAAAGTAGTGTTTTGTTTAATTTTTCAATTTTTCATATGACATTGATGAAATTAATTTTGCAAATAACTAAGAAATAATATGAGTGACTGTATAGCAAAACATGTAAGGTGTGGAGAGAAGAATGTACATACATATCTAGATTATCTGGAACTATGATTTTTGAAATTTTATTTGTGATTTTGCCTGTATTTTGTAAGATCTTTGTAGTATAATAAAATTGTTTTAGAAATCTGAGAAGATTTAGTATTTTGTGGAATTGAAGAACATCTACCTTATGACTTTTACTGTCTTTTTCTTATTTTATAATCACTGACTTAGAAACTTATTGAAGGTAAGTATCTTAGACAAAATAATTTTAATGAAATTTAAAGAAGTCCTTTTCTACTTCTTCCATGTATTATTTATTTTCCCTCATATAGTAAACATCTTTTTCCCAGTGTGCATTTCCTTCCATACAGTAGACATTTAAAAGATGTGCTCCATCTCCAGACAAGTTATACTTGGAGACATATTCTTTGCTCAATAATGCTTTATTTTGTTTCCCCCACCCCTCAGGCTGAATTGTTTCTACGTAAACCACTGTCCCTCACTAAGCTATAGTATCATAATACATTTATATAGTAATTTTTACAGTATATATAATTTTGTATGTAAACTAATCTGTTGCATTTTTTTGTAGAGGATCCCATAACATACATAGCTGATGTTGCTATACGATTAAATGATAATTTATCTGACTATACAACACTAAATCTGATTGGAGAGATACAATTACCAAAAATATTTTTTGATCCACCATTTATATGTTTTACTCCTGTACCTTTGGGTATCACAGCTGGGGTAGATATCAAAATTTTGCCACAAAATTATTTCAGGTAAATTTTTAATATGAATTTTCTACATCTTCTTTATTGTATAGTTTTGTTTGTATCTGTGTTATGTGAAAATTATATGCCATATCTGACTTCTTACTATAGTTGGGAAACACTATTAAAGCATTTCATTATGCACTGACATTTTAAAAAATACAAAACAGCCTATATTTTGATTTATTTTTGCCATTTTAATAAGCTTAAAAAGTTTGGTGTATAACAACATAAGCTTTGTGCCTTAAAACATTTATTTAATACCACAAACAACATTAATTTATTGTCTTGAGGTTTATATGGATCAGTATTGTAGGTGAGTTTAGCTGAATCTTTTGTTCAGTATCTAAAAGGGCAGGAAAATATGCATTAACTGCAGCTTTAAAATCTTCTGTGTCTTAGTCCTCCAAAGTCATGCGATAGAATTATTGATTGGGGCCACATCTAGCTCTTAGCATTCATCTTCTGGTCTTAGACATGTGGTCATATATGTACCATGTGCTCCAAAATTATCAGTACTCAATATTTTTTTTTTTACTGTTACCTCTAAGCTTGTTTACTATCAGATAGAACAATCTATATGATAACAGCTGAGAGATGTTTTGAGATTTGGACTGTAAGCAAAGGGCAAGGCACTGCTAATTTTTGTATATTATATAATTTAAAGTAATTGCACATATTAAATGTGTTTTTAAATGTCTTTTTCTTGATCCATAATTACTTCAAATATGTAATGAGATAATTTACTGTGCATAAAGGATAGTCAAATTTTTCCTTTTAATTCATTTTAGGGTTAATATATTTTAAATGTATTTTAGTTTTGTGTATGATTGAAAATTTTTGATGTCTTCCTTCTTGTACCAGTATATACTAAATCAGTTGTTAGAATGTAGGATTTTCTGCATTGAGATATGGTATTCTTTTTTAATTTTTTTATTTATTCATTTATTTCAATTTATTCACTTTGGTTTTTTTTTGAATTTTATTTTTTTTTTATCAGTTACATTTTATTAACTCTGTATCCCAGCCATGTCCCGATCCCTCATTCCCTCCAGGTCCCTCCTTCCCTCCCTCATCTCCACCGTGCCCCTTGCCAAGTCCACTGATAGGGGGGACCTCCTCCCCATTCATCTGATCCTGTTTTATCAGGTATCTTCAGGACTGGCTGCAAAGCCCTCCTCTATGGCCTAACAGGACTGCTCCTCCCTTGGAGGGTGGGGAGGCCAAAGAGCCAGTCATTGAGTTCCTGTTAGAAATAGTCCTTGTTCCCCTCACTATGGGAAACCAATTAGTTACTGAGCTACCACAGGCTACATCTGAGCTAAGGTTCTAGGTTATATCCATACATGGTCCTTGGTTGAATGTCAGTCTCAGAAAAGACCCTGTGCCCAGATATATTTGGTCCATATGGAGCTCCTATCCTTTCCTCATCAGACTAACTCCCCTTCTTTCTTATGATTCCCTGTACTCTGCCAAAGGTTTGGTCATGAGTCTTTGCTTTGAAAACACTGCTAGTTAGAGACTTTCTATGAGCTCAGTAGCCTCCTGTAAATATGTTCAATGCACATCCCATCTGTCTTTCTAAATGAGGATTGATCATCTTACCCCATGTCCGCTCTCTTGATTATCTTTTTTAGGTGTATAGATTTCATTAAGTTTATAATATCTTATAGGTCTATATAAGTGAGTATATACCGTGTTTGTCTTTTTCCTTCTGGGATATTTCACTCAGGATGATCTTTTCTAGATCCCACCATTTGCCTGCAAATTTCATGATTTCCTCCTTTTTGATTGCTGAGTAGTATTCCATTGTGTAAAAATACCACAATTTCTGTACCCATTCCTCCATTGATGGACATCTGGGTTGTTTCCAGGTACTGGCTATTACAAATGAAGCTGCTATAAACATGGTTGAGCAAATATCCCTTTTGTGTACTTGAGCAAACTTTGGGTATATACCTAGCAGTGGTATAGCTGGGTCTTGAGGAAGCACTATTCCTAATTGTCTTAGAAAGTGCCAGATAGATTTCCAGAGTAGTTGTACCAGTTTACATTCCCACAAGCAGTGGAGGAGGGTTCCCCTTTCTCCACAACCTCTCCAGCATGTGTTGTCACTTGAGTTTTTCATCTTGGCCATTCTGATGGGTGTAAGGTGAAATCTCAGGGTTGTTTTGATTTGCATTTCCCTGATGGCTAATGAAGATGAGCATTTCTTTAAGTGTTTCTCTGCCATTCGATATTCCTCTGTCGAGAATTCTATGTTTAGTTCTGTTCCCCATTTTTTAATTTGATTACTTGCTTTGCTGCTTTTCAGCTTCTTTAGTTCTTTGTATACACTGGATATTAGTCCTCTGTCAGATAAAGGGTTAGTGAAGATTCTTTCCCAATCTGTAGGCAGTTGTTTTGTTTTGATGACAGTGTCTTTTGCTTTACAGAAGCTTTTCAGTTTCATGAGGTCCCATTTATTGATTGTTGCTCTTAGAGCCTGTGCTGTTGGTATTCTGTTCAGGAAGTTGTCTTCTGTGCCAATGAGTTCTAGGCTGTTCCCCACTTTTTCTTCTAACACATTTAGAGTATCTGGTTTTATGTTGAGGTCTTTGATCCACTTGGACTTTTGTTTTGTGCAGGGTGATAAATATAGATCTACTTTCATTTTTCTGCATGTCGACATCCAGTTGGTTCAGCACCATTTGTTGAAGATGCTGTCTTTTTTCCATTGAATAGTTTCGGCTTCTTTGTCAAAAATCGAGTATTCATAGGTGTATGGGTTTATTTCTGGGTCTTCTATTCGGTTCCATTGATCCTCCTTTCTGTTTTTATGCCAATACCATGCAGTTTTTATTACTATTGCTCTGTAGTACAACTTGAAATCAGGGATGGAGATACCTCCAGATGATCTGTTGTTGTACAGGATTGTTTTGGAGATTCTGGGTTTTTTGTTTCTCCATATGAAGCTGAGAATCTTTTTTTCAAGGTCTGTAAAGAATTGAGTTGGTATTTTGATGGGAATTGCATTGAATCTGTAGATTGTTTTTTGGCAGGATGGCCATTTTCACAATGTTAATCCTACCAATCCATGAGCACGGGAGATCTTTCCATCTTCTGAGATCTTCAATTTCTTTCTTCAGATACTGGAAGTTTTTCTCAAACAGGTCTTTCACTTGCTTGGTTAGTGTCACACCAAGGTACCTTATGTTACTAGTGGCTATTGTGAAGGGTGTTGTTTCCCTAATTTCTTTCTCGGCCATTTTGTCTTTGGTATACAGGAGGGCTTCTGATTTTTTTGAGTTGATTTTGTATCCTGCCACTTTGCTGAAGGTGTTTATCAGCTGGAGGAGTTCTCTGGTTGAATTTTTGGGGTCGCTCATATATACTATCATATCATCTGTGAATAGTGACAATTTGACCTCTTCCTTTCCAATTTGTATCCCCTTGATCTCCTTTAGTTGTCTTATTGCTCTGGCTAGGACTTCAAGTACTATGTAGAAGAGGTAGGGATAGAGTGGGCAGCCTTGTCTTGTCCCTGATTTCAGTGGGATTGATTTAAGTTTCTCTCCATTGAGTTTGATGTTGGCTATAGGCTTGCTGTATATTGCCTTTACTATGTTTAGATACGTGCCTTGTATTCCTGATCTCTCCAAGACTTTAAACATGAATGGGTGTTGGAATTTGTCAAATGCTTTTTCAGCATCTAAGGAGATGATCATGTGGTTTTTCTCCTTCAGTTTGTTTATGTGGTGATTACATTGATGGATTTCCGTATGTTGAACCACCCTTGCATGCTTGGGATGAAGCCTACTTGGTCGTAGTGGATGATATCTTTGATGTGTTCTTGGATTCAGTTTGCAAGTATTTTATTGAGTATTTTTGCGTCAATGTTCATAAGAGAGATAGGTCTGAAGTTCTCTTTTTTTGTTGGGTCTTTGTGTGGTTTACGTATAAGGGTGACTGTTGCTTCATAGAATGAGTTTGGTAATGTACCTTCTGTTTCTATTTTGTGGAATGGTTTCAGGAGACTTGGTGTGAGCACTTCTTTGAAGGTCTGGTAGAATTCCGCGCTGAAACCATCTGGCCCAGGGCATTTTTTGGAGGGGAGACTGTGAATGACTGCTTCAATTTCCTTGGGGGATATAGGGCTGTTCAGTCTTTCTACCTGATCTTGACTTAATGTTGGAAGATGGAATCTATCAAGAAAATTGTCCATTTCATTTAGGTTTTCAAATTTTGTGTCATATAGGCTTTTGTAGTATGACCTAATGATTGTTTGAATTTCCTCAGTGTCTGTAGTTATGTCACCCTTTTCATCTCTGATTTTGTTGATTTGGATAGATTCTCTCTGCTTTTTAGTTAGTTTGGCTAAGGGTTTGTCTATCTTGTTGATTTTCTCAAAGAACCAGATTTTGTTACATTGATTCTTTGAATAGTTTTATTTGTTTCTAATTGATTGATTTTAGCCCTGAGTTTGATTATTTCCAGCCTTCTGCTCCTCTTGGGTGTATCTGCTTCTTTTTTTTTTTCTAGGGTTTTCAGTTGGGCCATTAAGTTGTTTGTATGTGATGTTACGAATTTCTTCTTGCAGGCACTTAGTGCTATAAAATTTCCCCTGAGCACTGCTTTCAATGTTTCCCATAATTTTGGGTATGTTGTGCCTTCATTTTCATTGAATTCTAGGAAGTCTTTAATTTCTTTCTTTATTTCTTCCTTAACTCAGCTGTCATTGAGTACCAAGTTGTTCAGTTTCCATGTGCCTGTTGGCTGTTTGTTATTTCTGTTGTTGTTGAGGTCCAGCTTAAGTCCATGGTGGTCAGATAGAATACAAGGGATTATTTCAATCTTTTTGTATCTGTTGAGGCTTGCTTTATGACCAACTATATGGTCTATTTTGGAGAAGGTTCCATGCGTTGCTGAAAAGAAGGTGTACTCTTTTGAGTTTGGATGAAAAGATCTGTAGACATCTATTAGGTCCATTTGATTTAGGGTCTCTGTAAGTGTTTTAATATCCCTATTTG